TTAATCAACAACCTGTATTTAATACAGCTATATCAGCAAATGGTTTATTTTCTGATAATACTTTAATAACAACAACAACTGATAAATTACATATTGATTTAAAAAATATTGATGATCAAAATGATAATGAACAATCAACAATCAAACAACAAAAACATTCTTTAGAACATTTTATTATGAGTCCAACAGATAAAGTTAAAATACAAATGAAATATCCACCAATAAATAATGATAAAGAAAGTGATATCAAAAGTGTAAGTTATTCATTTTTCAAGAATATAAAGAACATAATATTTTTGTAAAATATATACACGACATAAGTTTATTATCAAAATTCATTGGATAAGATGGAAAAATAAAATCATATAAGACGCGATGTTTCGGTCTTTCAAGTGCCTAATAAATTATAGAAGAGTTCGTATAACGAATGAAGATTCTCAAGTGTGAATCGCTATTTTCAATAGACATTATGTCAGTTTGTTATGTTTGATGAGTTGATTACGATGGCAAAAAGCTTACCTCCGCATAGATTATCTGTGAGAAGTAAAGTTAATCTCAAGTTTAGAAGAATTACTATGAGCTATTATTTGAGAAATTTTTTATTTTTATCTTAATTTAGTTTTCAGTATTCAAAGGTTTAACATTGGATGAGCTTTAATTAGCTGTACATATCCACACAATCATCATAAATAGAAGTCGAAACAATGTCTATACTTTGAATATTTCAATATCATTAACACTGGATGTACGAAATTGGACTTTTTCTTTCAAAACTGATCAAGATTCGCTGGTGAAACTTTTTTAAAAACGTAGTAATTGAAGTCTTGTCAGATATTTCATTTCCAATAGTCTGCATTCTATTAAGTTGTTTTCTCACATGTTTATAGGAAAAAGTATCAGAGATTGGATCGATTCGGTTTCAAAAGAAAAAAAAAAGACGCGAACCGATCCTATTTCTGAAAAGTACAATAGATCAGACAGGTAATTGAAACATGATTAACATATATTTTTAATAAATGTCATAAATAGATGAACATACCATTGGAATTAGATGAATTTTGAAAAAATAGTTCAATTTTGGTACATTCACAGTATTAATGATAGTGAAATATTCAAAGTATAGACATTGTTAGGACTTCTATTTATGATGATTGTGTGGATGTATACAGTCTATTGCGGTGCATCCCGTGTTACACTTTTCCATGCTGAGAACTAAACAAACATAAAAATTATAGTTTCTAAAATAATAGCTTATAGTAATTTTTCGGAAGTTGTGATTAACCTTACTCTTCAAAGAGTGCTCTATGTCATCGTGATCAGTTCATCGAATTCTATAAACTGGCATGAAGCCTATTGAAAATGAAAGCTCACACTCAGGGATCTTTCCTTGTAAGTCAGCATTCTATTTGTTTTTAACTTTCGTATTTTGAATACTATTATGAAACATCTTAATCAAACGAAATTTCAAATTTTGTATCATTTTAATGGATGTTTTGATCAAAATAAACATAAGATGAATTGATTAGATTCTAATATATATTGAAATCTAGAAGCGTAAGTTTTGATAATTTCGATCATATGCTAAGCGTTTTTCCATTCTATTCAAGTTCTAAGAATGATCTAATCTAAGATTTTTTTTTTTATTGTGTTATACATCTATAATTTAAAAGATTCTTTTGAAATAAATAATCTAATATTTGTAAATATTATTAATAATCAATAGAAAAACAAAATTATGATCATTAAAAGAATATTTTTTTATTAATGTAATTCTTTTATTTTTCTTAGAATGAATTAAAAATTTCTCAACCTGAAGATATTGATTTTAAACGATCAAAACAGAAAGCTATCCGCGTACTTTATCAAAATCGACTTAATCTCAACAGTATTCAAACTCCGGTGCCACGTCAAGTAAGAAATATATGGGTTTTTTTTTAATTTTTTTTATTATTTCTCGAATTTTTTTAAGAATTCAAAGATATTTCCATCGAGAACAGCAACAGGTCATTGTGATTCTCCATTAGCTAAACGAACGACCAATCCACGTATATTAAGAAGGTAAAATAATAAGATTATTTCAATTATATATATATACATTTGTCTTTGTATTATTTTAGTGTGTTATCATGCAGTGTATTCGAAGCCGATGATGAACATGAAGTAGTTTCATCGACAACTATTGCTAATCAAGCCGGTGTTAATGGGACACGTGAAAAGTCCTATATTGAAACATTCAATTGTTTACGTAGCAATTTTACTGTAAATTAAATTGTCTTTTGTTTTCTTTTTTGTCCTATAATTTAATATTTAAAGGAATCATTATTACATGGAAAAATTCTTCCTTGTGGTATACTTGATGGTTTTACAGTTAAATTAGGTGCAAGTGGACTTTTTATGCCCAAACAAGTTGTTTTACCTGTGACTACATTTTGGTTTAATATATCTGAACATCAAGCAGCATCGCCTTATCTCGTATGTAGAAAAACATCTTTTCTTTTTTGTTTTTAATTTAATTAAATATGATAAATTATTGTTAATAGGGTTTTGTCAATTTACAATGTTTACCAAAACGTGGTTATCATGCTCCAACAAAAGGCACGATAACTTTAGCTTTATTAAATCCAAATGGAACAGCTATACATTTATTTTTAATAATATATGATTTAAGTGATATGCCACCAGATCATCGAACATTTATACGTCAACGAATTGTTCTTATGCCAGAAAATACCGGTGATGGTAAAAAAACTGAACATTCATCATCAAAAGGAAATCTCAGATATTTAGCTCATATTCGGTATGAAATATTTGAAATTATTAAATTTTTCATATAAATTTTCTTTTTCTTTTTTTTTTGTATAGATTTGTAACATCACAAACGGGTAAATTATATATGCATTCCGATATACGTTTAATATTTGCACGTAATAAACTTGATTATGATGATCGAACAGCGGGCGGTAAAGCACAACTAGTGACATTGACAGATATGCCAACACCAAAATATTGGTCACGTAAGTAGGGCAATAGAAACTCTAAACAGTTCTGACTGTATTTATATTTATTTATTATTGTTTTTTTTTTCTTTTTATTTCGTTCAGTTTTTTTCCCTCTCTTTTTTTTCTCGATTTCCTTTTCTTTTCTTCTTTTCTTTGATGCTTATATTCACTTGTTATTTGCTTTCATGATTTTTTTTTTGTTCCTTTTTTCTCGTACAGTAACGTTAAGTAACATAGTGGAAAACTGACTGAAAGTTTTCTATATGTTACAAGCCTTCAGTTGGTTTCTTCTTTTTTTTTTTTATCCTTAAAAGTTTATTATATTTAAATAGTCATCAGAATCATTTGTAGAAAAAAAAAAGAGCGTAATATTGTGTTTTTTTTCTTTGTTCTGTGAATTCCATCTTTAATATTACGTATAATAAGAATATCGGTTTTTTATGATAAATCCTAATCATTCGAAAAAAAAAAAATTTTGTTTTTTATTCAAATTTACAATAGAAATTAAATAGCATATTGATGATTCTATTTGATTTTTTACAAATTTTTGTAAAAGACTGTTTGTGATTGGATTATGAACTTGAAGTGGTAGTCTAACAATTCATAAAAGGATTTTGATAATAAAAATAAAACGAAATTCGTCACAGTCAATTTTGATTAATATATGTGAAGAGACATTGTATTATAGAAAATTGACATGATCAAATATTTCTATGCCAAGTTCAAAACATAGAAGATTTGTATGTTTTCGATTCATCCTGCAAATCTTTATGATTGAAGGATTTTTATTTACAGTGAGACTGTGTGATAAACTCTTATATAATGTTTACATTTTCTACAGATAAAATATTAATCCAATAGTGTTTCTTATCATGTTTTTCAATTTTTAAATGTAAATTCTACATGCAATAAATTTTCAACTACATGGTATCATGAACTTTAAGCATTTACCTGCTAGCACTCATTTAATAGAGTTTGTGTTGAGTCAACTACCCGCATAACTTAAATAGTTTCTAATTATGGTACTGGTACAGTTAAATTTGGACGAAATCATTTCACTGTAGAGACGTAGAATGGATCAAAAATAGATTGGTGAACAATAAGCACGACAACATTCAGCACCAAAAAATTAAGTACGCATAAAAGAATGAAGATAATGAGTGTGTGTAAGAATGAAGAGAAATGACCTTATCTAATGAATCACGTCATACAATATTTTTCCGTCGGTAGAAAATTGAAATAGAAGAATGATACTAGAGAATATCAAAAGAAGAATTTCGACAACATTGTTAGACTACATGCTAGAGTCAATAAAAAAATTCAAAGCTAATGAGTTTAAGTTTGGAGATTGCTTTCAATCTCTTATTAAACCAAATGATTGATTGAATCATTTTACGTTTTATTATCCAAGGTAAACATTTCTACATTTGTGCTGCAACAGTTTATTGATTTAGTTCATAATCAATGAGATAAATTTGAAATATTGAAATTCTGTTATTGGATTTGAGTGCATGCCTAAAGAAGACTGACAACTACACTGATATGCACTCATTGATCCTTCAATCGATGTTATAATGACTTCTATTTTTTTGCGTGCTTATCGTTCGCGTGCTTGAGTATCCATGCTCATCGTTTCAGTTCTCGTCAAAAATGAGTCATTCGCTTTGAATGACATAAAAATTGAATTTTTTTTTAATATCTTCTCGCAATTATGTTGTTATTTTGTCTGCAAAAAGTTGGAAATCTACTAGACATGGATTAGTTTTTTAAAAAAAAAGAGTCATCTTGGAGGATGATATATAGTTAGATACCTGTAAAAGGCGCCGATTTGCGCATTGAGATCAAGTCTTTTATTTTTAGAGACATGTTGAAATTATTAGTCTTCATTTTCTTTTTATAATATAGAATCGTCGGTTCTAATTCCGAGTCGAAATCATCCTATTGTTAACATCTCATGCAAAAGAAAAACTATAACAAAAACTACAAGTATCTATCTTTTATTGATAAAAAGTTATTTAAAAACGGCTATGAGTTACTTTTTGACTGGCTATCAGAGGTAATAAAGTGTTTAGCATGAACATCATGCTATTTTATGAGCTTACACCGAAAATAAAATAACTCTATAAAAAACCATTTTTTAAGCTACTTATAATACATGAGTTAAAAATGACCCAAATTGTCATGAAAAACGCTGATTTCATATCTTTAATCAAGAATTTTTAAAAACCATTCTGTAAACAGGCTATGCCCATAATTGTATATATCAATCTCGTCAAAATAGATTTTTTTTTTGAAAAATTGAAGCTTGTATACAATATTCTTAAATCGTCTTCATCCAATGTTTCATTACTCGACATAGATAGTTTTTGTGAATGAATCAAAAATGGTCCGACAAGAGTAAACTGCTAACGAAGATCTACTTCAATGCATATAGATTTCTTCAACATAATATTTATTTCTATCTAACTACCAATGACAAAACGACTGCAAATTGTATTTTTGATCTAAAATATAGAGTTTACGGTCAGAAGAAGTTTTCTTAGATGTATATGAATAGTACCAATGTAGAATACAAATAAAAGTTTAATATAAAGATACAAGATGTTGATATACTTTCTGAGTTTTTTTTTTAAACATGCTTGAATAACATTTAATTATCGATTGTTGCAACCTTCATCGACGGCATTCTCTAGCTTATAATATACTATTAAACTATGTCAATGGGCAGATAATAGTTCTGATTTTAACGTTATTGAATTGATCTGAAACATTATTAAACAGAAAAATAAAAACAAAAATCCAATGTCAGAACGTGAATTAGAGAATGCAGCCGATATAGGTGGCAATTGTCTATTATTAAATGTTATTCAAACATGTTTTAAAAAGACTCAGAATGTATATCAACACTTTGTATTTTCATATTAAACTTTTATTTTTATTCTACACTTGTACTATTCATATACATTTAAGAAAATTTCTTCTGACCGTAAACTCTATAGTTTAGATCAAAAATACGATTCGCAGTCGTTTCATTGTTGGTAATAAGATCTATTTTACACAAAAAAAAACCCATTCTATACAATTAAAACAACATGTTAATCTGAAGTAGTAATTTAGAAAATTAAACAGACGTACTGCATATAAACACATAATACAGTGATTATATTTATTTTCGCATAGCAAAAATTTATTTAATGATGTTTCAAATAATCTGTTCATGAATTTTTTAATGGGTTTTCTTTTTCTAGAGACAAGTGTATGTGGATTTCAATATCATTTAACTCATCAGGAGAAATCTAATGGTACTTGTATTATATTCATAATATATATCTTATTAATCTGTTCTTGAGAGTTTAAAATTAAAGAAGAAAAAGTATTTGTAATACTCATAGTTAAATCATTCAAATTATTTAATTCATGATAACAAAAATTTTCTATCAATTATGGCTTTAATATGAATGAACAATTATGACATCAGTTTAGTTTTTTTTTTTTTTTTTTATTAATCTCATCTTTGAACAAAAATCAAAATCGATGAAATCTATTAAAGAAATATTGAACATAAACGAACGTTCTATTTTTGATTCTTTTGTTTTGTCTTTTCGATTTAAATCGTTAAATTCACTATGGTCACAGAACTCCATAGGAGTAAAAGAGCAGAAAAAAAAGAATAAGCAACAAGAACAATAATATAATAATAACAAATAATCCACTACGCCATTTTGAGCAAACATATACACAAAAAAAAAAGAAAAGGAAAATATAGACGGTTGGCTTTTGCTTATATACAAATAATTATTTATTGCCAACGAGTCCTTCCATGTTGTTCATAATTTGATGATAGCCAATGATTTTGTTGATATTGTGGTGTATAGGATGATGATGACGGTGGTTGTTGAGCAGGAAAATAACCTGTTGGTGGACGAATAAGTGCTGGTGTAGATGTTGTTGATTGTGTATTATAATGAGATGGTGTTGCCGCTGATGATTTTAGTTTTTGTTGTGGTTGTTTATTATTATTATTATTATTATTGTCATGTGATTCTTGATTTTTACGTTTATTTGTTTGTGTTGCTGATGAATTATTTAATAAAATAATTTGTTGTTCAAGTTTACTTTTTTCTCTAGCATGATATTCAATTAATGTCATATTTTTTGATGGAATTATTTGTGTTTGATTTAAATCTTCCATATCAATTAATAATGTATCTGATGGTAATTCTTTTTCATCATAATACATTTGTACAAGTTGTAAAAAATCTAATTCATGTGTACGTGGTACACGTGCTAAAGGTTTTAATTGCGTTTGTAAATATGGATATATACTTAAAACATCGTTTAATGGTATATATGAATGATTACTCGAACAAACAAATGGTACTGTACGATATGTTATATATAAAGAACCACCACGTAATGCTAAAACACTTTTATATTGTCGATTAATTTTTGATGTTGGATTATCTTTTGGTAAAATTTTAACATAAATTAAATTTTTTGTACCAATTAATACATGATAAACATTAATTAATGGTGCATTTTCAAGTATTTCTTCATTATTTATTTTACATTCACGTATCATACAATTCATTAATGTTATATCAGCTAATGTTGCACGTGTTAATGTTGAACGTAATTCATCAGATTCAAGAATTTTACATGAAACAAGAACTTGATAAGGTACAAGACGTTGACGATATTTTATTATAAATGGAAGAAAAACATTATTAATTTGTACCCAACCACTACCATCGATTTTAGCATTATATAAAGAATTTGGACAAAGTTCAGGTGGAATAACAAGACTAGATGGATTTGATGATGATATTGGTGGTGTAGGATATGTTGAATGAGTATCTAAAGCAAAAAAAAAA